GGTCACAACAAACACTGCTCTTCGTATCAAAATGAGCTCACTAATTAGAAGCACAGAAAATGAGAAGTGCTTCGATTCAGGAGCGGGATGGAAAAAAAACACCACGTTTAAATGAAAAAAATAAAGTTGCAGATGTTTGATAGGTCATTTGTCACAACATGCAAACACACAAGGAGGAAGAGATTATTTCATTTATGATTGAGGAATACAAAAACATTGCTCACACTTTCTCTATTCTATTCACGTGTGTGAACACTCCCACGTAACTTTCTGAAGCACTTGAGTGCAGCAAGTTTTACCAGGGTTATTTGACAGTAAGGTCTGATGTTGTGCAGTAAGCCTTTCTTCCTACAGAAGAGAGAAATCGTGATAGAAATAATACAGAAATAAAGGCCTAGAGCAGGACAGCCTCAATTCCTGACCACATTTCTTTGTATATTACTCAACCCAATTCATGAATAGGCTATCCCATACTATGGAAGTGGCACTTACCCTTCCTGACAAACAGGACATCTTTATGAATATAAGATTTTTAGTTGATTTTTTAGCAAAAAACAGGTCTGCAGCTTGGTACAGAAGGATCTGCTCTGGCCATTCTCACTACACAGAATCCTATTTCTTTTTATTCTTTGGTGCAGAGTAGCACTATCAGAAAACAACAACCACTACCAGTAGCTTGTTTCCACGTGTAAAATAATTCAGAGCATTCACAGCTGTGATCACTCTAGTGCAGGCCGCAAGGAAAGCATACAAAAAAAATCATAGGATCAAGCTCAGTAGGTTTACACTCGTACATCCACACTTGGGCTTCAAGTATTTGAAAGCATGACTGTTTGGGCTTCGTGGTTACTTTTAAATTATGTGTTGAGTTATTGGGAATTGGATTCACGTTTTCATTAAACCAAATCCCCTTCAGACAACAGAAAGAAACCTGAAGTAAACACTTAAAAAAAAAAAATGCAATGCAAAACATTGAAGAGCGGGAACTCATGACTGTTCTCTGATCACATCCTTCACACAAGTGCAAGCTTCCCCGTGCCATAACACACTGAGGCCTTGCCTTTTCCCCACTATAAACTCTAATTTTTATTACCCTACCACAAATTGAGAAAGTTTTAACCAGCACTTCATACCGCAGTGATGCATTGTCTACTCTGAGATTGCTATCAAAAGTAATGGTGTAAATATACACTTCACGTCACATTTTGAGTTTCACAAGAGAACACCTGGCTCACCCAGGCAGGCTGTGGGAGCAGGTTGAACCAGAAATGAAATTCCATCACACACCAACTTGTTTTTAAGCACTAGGAAGCAAGGAACAGGCTGCCCAAGGAGGCTGTGGATGCCCCATCCCTGCAGGCATTCAAGGCCAGGCTGGATGTGGCTCTGGGCAGCCTGGGCTGCTGGTTGGTGACCTGCACACAGCAGGGGTTGGAACTGGATGAGCACTGTGCTCCTTTGCAACCCAGGCCACTCTACGACTCTGCAATTCTAAGAACAAACAGCCTTAAGTTTTACATGGTCCTGGGGTCACGAATTCTCAAAAATGAAGCAAAACAGACAATAAAATACAACCCACAAGTGTTCAGCAAGCAGCTGTGTCTACTTTTCTGCTCTTACTTTCAGAGATTCTCTATAAGGGAGGAAACCCCAAATCATATCACAGCTTTAATTGTTTTGAAGGCTTCCCCATTTCCTCACCCCAGTATCAAGCTCCAAAATCATTCAGTTTACCTGAAGTTCAGTTGTGAGTGATTTTTTTTTCCATTAACTACATCAGCAAAAACTGTGCTTCTGTTACTTCCACTCTGCATTAAATTTTCAAATAACAAAATGATATAATGGAGGAAAACACAACAAATCAAGAATATAAAACTCACAGATGCAGTACAGCTGAAGTTTTCACCTTGTTTTCAGAACATTCAGATATCAGTTTCCTGAAGTATCAGCTACAGCAGCATCTGGGCAAGGTTGGAATTTTTTTTTTTTCCACTTTTAACAAACAAACTGCAGAAATTCCCTAGATAACAATGCTGCAGCTGGCAGCCACAAGAAGTGAAATATTTCACACTGAACTACCTCGCTAAGAAGTTTAACTGCACTTTTCCACCTCCCTACACAACTAAAAGTCTTCTCCAGTATATTTTTTAAGTCACTCAGAAGAGTGAAGCATCTGTGAGGGACGGGAACAAGCCAGAAGCTCTCTCACTCCCTACCCTGACCAAGGCTTCTTTCTGGTACAGCAAACTACCTCTGTCTCAAGCTCAATTACAATGCCCACATTATTACATCTCGTGCTCAGCACAGGCTTTCTCTTAACACCCAACCTAAACCTCCCCCGTCTCAGTTTAAAACCATTCTCCCTTGTCCCATCACCATCCATCCTCACAAACAGCCGTTCCCCCTCCTGCTTATACGCTCCCTTCAAGCACTGGAAGGCCACCATGAGGTCTCCCCACAGCCTTCTCTTCTCCAAGCTGAACAAGTCCAGTTCCCTCATAGGAACCTTTCCTCATAGGAGAGCTGCTCCAGCCCTCTGATCATCTTTGAGGTTCTCCTCTGGACTCGTTCATTAGATTAGAGGACGTTTAGATACTGGCACTGCTGCCCACAGAAGTATGGCTGCCCCATCCCTGGAGGTGCTCTGGGCCAGGCAGCCTGAGCCATGGAAAGGAGTCTCTGACCACGGCAGAGGCTGGGACTGGCTGGGCTTTCAGTTCCCTTCCAACCCAAGCCATCCTGTGATCCTATGGTAAATACAAACTAGATAATATCAATCAATTCTCTGTAGCTCAAACATTTTTCACACATCCCCTATTTTTCAGTACTTATTTATCAAAACTGACTCAGTATGGTAATTCCATCAGCTTCTGAAATGGTCCCATGGAGGCAGGTCAAGTCAAGCTCAACTTCCAAGTTCTAGAGCAGCTGGGCAGAGAACTCCAAAAATGCCAACAGCAAATCAAAGACACGCCAAATGGGTCTTACCATGCTGAAGCTGTTTAAATAAAGTGTTTTTCCACCAGAATTTCACAGCTACCCATTAGAAATACAACAGCACAACTGAACGAGATGCCAAGAAGTTGAGTGTAAATAGAGATTTTATTACTATGCACTGACACATTAAAGATGATCTACTTTAACAAAACGTTCAGAATTCAATTCTACAGACAAATTGAGGAGGAAGAAACCCCAAGTACTCTGACACACTCCTGACTGCATACTGTAAATAGGCATGTGGAACTGCCTTTTTCAAAGGAATAACAGTTTTGAGTTTAGGCAGGTACAAAAGGATAGAAATCTGCTGCAAGAAGGATGAAGGACTGAAGCTCACAAACGCATTCCCACCCACTACCCACAAACTGCAACTAAAGACATAACGAGGCACAGAGCCAGGGGTACAGAACTACTTACCTACGGCAGCTTTTGTAAGACAGAAACGCTCACATGAGTTACCACTGCTGCAAAATACTGTATTTCAAGGTATACAGTTATCTAATCATAAAGAAACAACTAAGAGTCAGCAAGGGAGAAACAATGCCCACTTTCACCAAGTTTAGCGAGTTGCCTCCCGCGGAAAAAGAAAAAAAAAAAAAAAAGAAGACACTTTAAGAGATCATCGCTACTAATTTGTACTGAGAAATCACCACTATCGCACCCACCTCCCAGGGCAAGTGGGCTCCTGCTGCACGTGGCCGTGCCGGCCCGCAGAGCCCCGCATTGCCCCGCACTGCCCCGCAGAGCCCCACCTCCTAGCGGTGCCCGCCCGGCACCCCGCAGGCCCAAGGAGGAACAGCTCGATTCCGATCGGAGCCCGACGCGCGCTCCAGGCGGGCCCCGAGCAGCCGCACACAGCAGCGGAGTGCTGCCCGCCGCCCGGCGAAGCCCGAACCCCGCAGGCAGATGAGGCCGGGTCCCGCCGTTCCCTCCCGCTCGGCCTCCCGCCCCGCTCCTGGGCCGCGGCCTAAAAATGGCGGAGGGAACCGCGCTCCCCTCGCCCGCCCCGCCCCGCGCACGGCCGTGCTCACCGTCCAGCCGGCGTCTCACACCGCGCCCTCGCGCCCCGCCGCTCGTCTCGCCTCGTCCCCCCGGCCCCGGAAGCAACCGTCGCCGCCTCACGATCCCCCGCCGCGGCCGGCCGCCATCTTCCTCCCCCCGCCAGCGCCAGGGGCGGCGCACGCGCCCCACGTCGAGACGCTCGGCGGCGGGCAGGCCGCGGGCACTGCGCAGGCGCAAGGAGAAATGCGCGCGCCGCTTCCGCGAGCCTCCCGCCGCTCCGCAGCCTGCGCATGCGCGGCCGGAAGTCGGGTGACCCCCACTGCCGACCCGCGCGGCTGGAAGCGCGAAGCGGGGTGCGCATGCGCGAGGGCTGCCCGCCTCTCTTCCCCGGCGCCCCCCTGAAGAAGCCGAGCTGAGGGGCGAAGCGCTGCGTCCCGCGGAGCCTCAGCGTGTAGTCTCGGTCCCCCCCGCTCCCTTCTGCTCCAAAGCGTTGGTGGCGTGGGGTTTCTCCTTCTGAGCAACAGAAGTTCTCATGAAAGTACGAGAACTCGTGTTTCAGAGATGAAAATGCCTTGAAATGCCAGAAATATGCTGCAGGGTATTCTGAGTTACAGCAGGAGCAGCACCCGGGGAGCGTTTCCAGTGCCAAAAGGGGCTGCTGGGATCTGCCAAAGGAAAGCTCACTCCGCTGCCTGGCTTTGTGCTACCTTAGTTATAATTATCTGGATCCAGCAAGAGTTGTGGTGGTTAATCTGGTTTGCTGGCTCAGTAAGAACTGAAATAACAGAGTAATCCTATTTCTTTCCCTTTTGCATCAATGGAACTCCACAGTGTACACTGTGTACTGCAGGAACTCCACACATCAGAACAGTCACCTGGCACCCATGCTGGTGTTTGTCCCAGCTCTTCTTCCTGTGTTTTCCTTCTTCCAGGCCAATCAGTTTATTGAGAAGGTCTTTGTAAATCAGAATATGCACGTAATGTTTACAAAATACAGGACCTTAATTAGAAATATATTTTAATTTAAGCTAAGCAATAATACAAAATAATTGAGCTTCTGAAAGTCCACCATGCTGACGAAACCATTTGAAAGACAGCGGGACTTGATTCTGCCCAGGAGTCAAGAGTAAGTGTCCCCACTCTTTTTGAAAACAAACAAACAAAAACAAAGCAGGTCATCATTTCTGCTAAAAAGCAGAAACGTGTACGGAATTCCCAAATCGGGGAGAAGAATCTGGAAGAAACCTATATTTGAGCCACCAAGAAAAGATTTTTCAAGTTCTTGTGCCCTCACAATGCAGGCGTCCTTTATCAAACCTGAGAGGACTGCAAAACTCCAGTATGCTGGAGTGTATGACAGTGCTGGAGCTCCCTTTATCCACTGCTCAGCCCAGGAGCTGGATTGGTACAGAGGGCAGAGAAACAAAGTTCTCAGATTTTTCCACTCATTTGGAGGAGTTGAGGGTCACCTTTAGTACTGGAAGCTGCGTTTGGTCTGAATGTCGTCAAGAATTTGCTGTAATTCCTCATCTTCAAATCGGCCCTCCAGGCTGCAAGGTAAGAACAAGGAGGGTGCATTAAAGCATTTAGAAACAGTTTCCCTGCTCCCTTCTGAATTGGTTTCAGACACCCATGCAGAGCCTCCTGTAAGTGACAGAACTCCATCCTTCCCAGAACTTTCTGCAGAATGATTTCACGTCACAGTAATCATAGAATCATAGAATCACTCAGGTTGGAAAAGACCTTAAAGATCATTGAGTCCAACCACGACCTAACCATACTACCCTAACTCTAACAACCATCTGCTAAATCATGGCCCTGAGCAATCAGGGAACAATCAAAAGGGCAACCCAGGTGTAGGCTTAACCAGACCCCTCGGCCTCATGCTCATAAGCCAGTCCAAACTTGCTGTGAAGAATGTGAGGAAACTGCCTCAAGTTGCACCAATGGAGATTTAGGTTAGACAGAATTTCTTCATAGAAAGGGTGGTTAGGTATTGGAACAGGCTGCCCAGGAGAGAGGTGGTGATTTTTTGTGGAGGTATTCAAGAAACGTGTGTACAACTTACAAGATTCTATGATTCTGTGAAACCTTAGCATACAAAGAAAAACCTGTACTTCAGATGGGTGTCTCATTCCTCCTCTATCTCAGGGCATGAGGTAACAAATGAAGAAATGATACTGGAAGATCTCTCTGCCCATGTGTATTTATCCACCCAGAGGTTCATAGGGACACTCTGTTGTTTATGCCAACAAGAACAGCAAAAAAAAAAAACCAACAACAAACACAGCTGGATGGGCTGAGAACCCCAGTTTAAGCCATTGCCCAGAGATGTGGTGGAAGTCTCACTTCTGGAGACATTCAAGACCAGGCTGGGCCAGGCTCCGAGCAACCTGGTCCAGCTGTGGATGTACCTGTTCACTGCAGGGGAGTTGGAGCAGATGGCCTTTAAAGATCCCTTCCAACTCCAAAGGTCCCTTCCAACTTTACAGTTCTATCACTCTTAATCCAGTAAATATTATCTCAAGTGCATTAGGGATACTTAAGATTGCTTCACTTTCAGAGCAATGGGTAAGTATAGAAAAACTGAATGGAAAGTTTTCTCATCAACAGAGTTGGATTGTGGAGAAGGTGTCTGTTCATAGCTAGCTTTAGATCACTGAAAGTACACAACACTCCTTTTGGTACACAGAAATGCTCACCTAGGAATCAAAGCTTTGGCTTCCTCAGCAGTCTCAGGACACAAGTTGGCCAAACACGCCAATTCAAATTTATGGAGCTTTTTTTGGAGCAGCAAGCTGTAAGGAAAGACAACAACTTGGTGAAATTACAAGCAAGATCGATAAGCAGAGGAACAACAAACCAAACAGATAACGTCCAACTCTCTCTTTTACTCCGCTTCTTGACACTGCATTCCAGTTTTTTGAAGGAAGAAATGTCTATTACATAACTGATCAGGTAAAAAACAAAGTTACAGCTGTGGGAAGACCCCAGAATTACAGTACAAATAGCCTTAGAAAACCCTCCTGCTCACTGAAATATGTTGTCTTTTAAACAAGGAAGGCTCAGCAGGCCCAAATGAGACCGGGCACAACGCTCCTCAAAACACAACAAACACACTTCTTGCCTCTCCAGAAAGACAAGATTCAGAGCTACAGCCATCCAAATCGGGAAACATCATGAAGCCTCACTTCCATAAAACGACACTGGTGTTACACATCAAATTCCTAAACCTTCCACCCACCTACGAACACTGGCGATGGTTTCGCGGTTTTTGAAGCGGCTGAAGCGCGCTGTGTAATTCAGAGTTTTCATGAACACTTCTGACAGCTCCTGCTCATCTTCCGCGCTCTCGTTCTGTTGCTTCCGATGCTCCAGAAGCATGTGGACTTCTGAATTCAGCAGGGTTTCTGCAGTTTCGAATTCTACGTTTGAACAAGCAAACGTCAGCATTGAAAGAAGTAAAGCATGGATAAAAAAGTCCGCTTATAGGTGATGTGTGTGTGACTGAGCTTTGGGAAATAACAACAGCACAGTTGTGGCTCACTGCCCTTTCACCAAGGACTGGGCAGAATTCCACACTGAAAACAGATAAAAATTACAGCATTCTGAGAAGCCACCCTGCCCACTTGTCTGCTTGACCACGCTTTTTACATTTGCAGACCCAAATTTATGCTTTTCTAACATATTTTTCTCTCAGACAGTGGACAGGCACTGGAGCAGCTGCCCAGGGAGGTGGTGGTGCCCATCCCTGGCAGTGTTCAAGAGGAGTCTGGATGAGGAGCTAGGAAATATGGTTTAGTGCTTGCGGGAGCAAAGGCAATGGGAGGGCGGTTGGACTGGATGATCTTGCAGGTTGTTTCCAACCTTGCAATTCTATGATCCTATATTTTTGCAATGCTTCCTTCGCATAGTTTTGTCATAACTTCAGCAATGCATGATTTGTTTTAAAAGAAAATATTTAGCCACGCAGCATCCATCCACTGATGACACCCACAGTATTATAAGACCTCCGACGTGTTCTTACAGCAAACTGAACATGCTAAGACAGGCCTCGTGCGCACAAAATAGCAGCAGACTGCTGGAACTGGGCGCTATCAGAAACCCAGCGGCCCTTCAGCACTTGTTTATAAAGCTCCGGTTTTGTTTTGTTTTCTGCAAAATAATTATTCAGCCCGTTAGCGTGCTGAGTTCTGACTCAGGCTCCAGGCAGCCGGCGACATTGTAATGCGGTAAAAAAAACGTAGATCAAAAACTACAAGCTACATCAACGCCAAGAATCTGCAGCTGTACCCGGCCGCTTAGAATTGGGCCCTGCCGCTCCCTCCGCGCACCTTTGGGGAAGACGAGCTGCGAGGCGTCCTCCTCCACATCTGCAGTCCTCGGGTCGCTGCCACCCGCCGCCATTGCCTCACCCGGAAGGGAAAGACGCGGCGCCCGGAAGGGGAAGTCCCGGCACCCGGAAGTGCAGTGCATTGAGACCCGGCGGCCGCCAGGGGGAGCTGCGCTAACAGGAGCAGGCGGGCGTGAGCGCTGCGTGTGTGGGGAGGGCAGCCGGTTGTGGAAGAAGGAGAGATTTTAGGCCCGCAGTCTTACAAATGCACAAAGCGATGAACCGCGATCCACGAGAGCATCTGCTCCCTCCAGGGGACCGCTGAGGGAAAGCACGCTGCTCTTTCACACAGACAAAGCCAGAGGAAGAGTTGCTGTGCTCACACAGTCACACAGGCAGTAAGCGGGAGCTGCAGGTGCACCTCCCAGGTGGACAAGAGGGCCGACAGCATCCTGGCCTGCGTTAGAAATAGTGCTGCCAGCAGGAGCAGGGAGGTGATCATCCCTCTGTACTCAGCACTGGTGAGGCCACACCTTGAATACTGTGTTCAGTTTTAGGCCCCTCACTACAAGAAGGACATCAAGGCCCTGCTGTGTCCAGAGAAGGGCAACGAAACTGGTGAGGGGTCTGGAGCACAAGTCTTATGAGTAGCGGCTGAGGGAGCTGGAATTGTTCAGTCTGGAGAAAAGGAGGCTCAGGGGAGACCTCATTACACTGTACAACTTCCTGAAGAGAGGTTGTGCTGAGGAGGGGTTTGGCCTCTTCTCCCAGGCAACAAAGAGGACCCAAGGAAGTGGCCACAAGTTGTAGCAGAGGAGGTTGAGGTTAGACATAAGGAAGACCTTTTTCTCTCAGACAGTGGTCAGGCACTGGAATGGCTGTGCAGGGAGGTGGTGGAGTCGCCGTCCCTGGCAGCGTTCAGGAGGCGTCTGGATGAGGAGCTACGAGATATGGATTAGTGCTTGTGGTAGCAGTAATGGGAGGAAGGTTGGACCAAATGATCTTGCAGGTCGCTTCCAACCTTGCGATTCTATGATTCTGTGATTCTCCACCTTACCTGGCTGCACAGCAAAGTGCGCTGTGAACTCTGTGCACCTCCGTTTTGCTGCCTTAGAATGAAGGCAGCAAACGATGTCTCCAGGAAACTACCCATGCCAACATTACATGTGTCTCACCGTGGTAAATACATGGAAGTTTGGTGGGAAGAAGCGTAGATAGCAATAGCAGCACACTCTGGAAGGGGATTTGCCTTCTTTGGGCTACCCAGGAGTAGTAGATCCCTAGAAGTTTCAGGCAGGCTAGAAATGTCTGGGTTCTTCCTGACGCTGTTGGAGGAAAGCCAGCAAAGTAATGTTTGCAGTAGTGCTTTCCCTAGAGAATGCACATGAAAGTGCTCAACCAGCTTAAGACTTACAGTAATCATCTTAGCAGACTGTACAATGTCATCCCGTGCTCTTAAAGAAATGCAGAAATAGATGGCTGGAGGATTTACTGGGATGCCACTCCTGCCCTCCTGAACTCACATCTGTGCCAGCTGCAGTGCTTCCTGTGCCCTGGGGGAGGGGCACAGCCAGTGTGAGCTCAACAGGGAGCTCCAGGATCAGATCTTAGCTCCTTAACGGTTGTTAGCTCTGTGTGAGCATTGGAGAGAAGCTAACAAAACTAATTAGCTATGGTACAAAGAGAAAGATATTCAGGAAGATAGCATGGAAATATCTCAGAACAGGTAGTGAATGAGGCTATTTCAGTTATGTTTACAAGAAAACAAGGAAATCCATGCCAGATTGACAAGAGAAGCCTTTTAAAATCATTTGGCATCCCGATGGCTTCTCACATGACCTGTCTCCTCAGAACATCATGATCTTCAAACAGTCTCAGCTTGCAGTCTCAGTTACAAATTTAACTTTTGTTGTCCACCAGTGATCTGGCCTACTTAAGTACATGAAAACTGAAACGGTTCAGGGAAAGCCACGTGCCTGCAAGAGTGTGAAGGAGGCTGTGGTGGTGGGTAATGGCTCACTGTCACTGCTGTTTGGTTTTGGTCTCAGGTTTTAGACATGAGCCTATTGTTGCATAGCGTAGGGCAGAAAGTATTGACCACTGCAGGGTTTGGGACACTGGTGGTTTGTTAGATAGACCCACTACGGCAATTTCTTCCTTCCTTCAGTTTGAAAACAGACCCACTAACAACCGACTGCATGAACACAGCTATTCACACACACAAAGCAAAACAGCAACAAAAAACCCAAACACCTTTAGCTAAACATCTCTGTGTGTGTAAATTATAGGGACACCTAATAACAAATACGTTCCATTATCAGTGTCAATGTCTTTTGTGTTGTCTTTCCTTCCAACTCACCGGCACAGCAGGCCTTTTCTTCCTAGCAGCTCTGAAGCTTTGTGGCAGTGATTATTTACCCCGTGTGCATGGCAGTGACTGACTTTTTTTTTAGAAAGCAGGTTTTGACTGGAGGTAGTAAGTTCAGAACACTGAGACCTTAATCTCTTCTCATTGTCAGCAACATTTCTAACATGCTACATCAAAATCCATGAGCAAAATCCACGCTTAGAAAAATTCGTGTCAAAATAGCCATTATTGCACAGGATTGACATGTTTTTTTAATGTGTTCTTGAAGTATAAATATCCAAAGTTTTCATATAATCTCACTTCCATTTATCGATTCCTTTTAAAATCATTTAATAAAAGTACAGTGAATGAACGTAAGAGCGATACAAAATTACATTCATACCCCCAAATGATAACCATCTGGGTGCAAAAGTGGCTTTGACACAAGGTCGATTTTTAAATACATACACGATACCTCAGCATGCTCTGACCTGGTTGTGCTGTCTGTAATTCAGTGTGAGAGCAACACTCACCACACGTATGGGTCAGTGTGCACATGAATGGCATTGAGTAATGTGCTCTGGCTTTAATGGCTGTCTTTGAGACACAGCATTTCTCAATCATAATTAGATACTTCATATGAACTCGGTTCAAAAATAAATGTGTGTTTTCTGCTAGGAATAAAAAGGCTCAAGTGTTATTCAGCTGAAATATCTTGTAGAGATTTCCCCCAGGCGTTCTGTCATTTGTTTTTAGAGTTTTTATCTAAATGCCTCATTAATTGTCTCTTTTTTTTTTTTCCCAAGCAGAAGTAAAACCAGAAGGAAGTGCTTTTTGGAGAGCAATCCTGGTATTCCAGTGCTGAGCTCGGATGGAACTTTTTCAGCACTTCCTTCTGCCTGAGCTCACCTCACTGAGGGTTCCTGCGGCCGTGGAAGCAACGTGCAGACAAGAATCTCTGATGGCAGACACCGGCCAAAGACTTTCACAACTGCTTCACTGTGAAACCAGAAGAAAGGAAAAACATATATGCCATAAAATGATACAAAAACAGATCAGTGTACTCTGGTTTAAAAAAGCAGCTGAGAAAGTACCACCGATCGCTTATCGGGGCACGAACAGCAGCAGTTGCTGGCTTTGTGCTTGACTTCAGGACGTACAAATCACTTGTAGTTCACTGTAGCTGCAGACTCCTTAATTCACTCCTCACAGAGCATAAGGGACTTGCAAAAAATAAATTCTTGCATTATCTTAAATCTTCCCAGGAATCGTAATTGCTAAAGTGCATACTTTGGAGTTGCCCTAAAGCAAGCAAGCTTCTTGGGCATATTCAACTCAGAACTGCTCTCCCTCTTCAGGTATATAGTTTATTGATTTCTTTGTTCCTCTTACACTCATTCCTCCCTGATGCCAGGGCTGCAGCTCCTGAGAACCACCAGTGTGAAACACAGGACCTTGAACTGCACTGTATCTGCCACATGTCAGTCAGCAGTGACAGCCTGTCAACGTACAGAAAAATATCTAAACCAGAGGTAAGCAAAAAGCCAGATGTCTTTGTTTGTACGATCCTGTCCCAAAGGGCCATTTCAATATTTAGTAAGAATCTAGAAATACATTCTCCTTTTTCCCAAAATAAAGTTTTTTTATATTTAAGATCATTCCAGGACCTGTAAAGTACATATCATCTCTTTTTTCTTTAAATCATCTTAAAAGACCAAACCCAAAGAACACTTAGGGTACCACAGTCCATGATCTTTAGCGTGCTACGGAATTCAGCATCCATGGGCTCTGTGTTCCACCCTCAGGACAACTAATGGAGCTCTCATCGAGTCAGTGTTATTTTGGAATGCACTCTTTGCTGTATTGCTATTAGCAGAACAATTTTAGTACTTGTGGTTAATTTTCCTGCCATTTCTCCTCGCTTCTCCTAGCAAGCCTGTCCTTATGTTTCCAGACAGCTATGATAGCAGTTTGTCGACTCCCCGGGTTCTGACCATGTAACAGGCTTGGTATTTATACACACAGTGCTTTGTAGATGAGAAAGATGTTATCATATCCCATAAATGCTGCAACAAACTGTATAAAGAGGACAATACCAACATTTTTTTTTTTCCCATTATGATTTATTCTCTACAATACTTCATTAGAGGATAGAGTTCAATTATTTACACTCAGAAGTTATTATATAGGTAGGAGGCAACCAAGTGTAATACAAAGAATTGGTCTGACATCTGCACTGAAGGTCAAAAGAGGTCTCCTGCTTTAAGGAAATAAATTAACCCCAAAATAACTCAAAACAAAATGACATGTAGTTTCCAGAATACAAACAGAAAACAGCACTAATAGTCAGTGAAGATTGCAGATGTAGGTTAATGTACTATGAAAACAAATTATCCTGTGCAAAGGTTAAAACGATCTCTTAGATTTCTTACAGAATTTGTCTTTATTTCTTATAAATTGTAGATATGTGATATTTTGACCATAAAACCTTCCCAGACTGAAGTGATCTCAGTTGAGATTGACTATTAAACATGAAAAGAAGTAGTTTAAGAACCTCACAGCGGAAACATTCCAACACTGACAGACTCCAGTGATCAAAGACATTCTCCTGCATTTGCTGTAAAACAAAGACAATTCGTACTTGCAGTGAGATTATTTCTCAGCTGTGGCTGTCATGAGAATAAGCCCTTCTAGACCAAAAGGCACTTGCTTCTAAGGATGAGTTAAATCCACATCAAACCAGGTGACAATTGCTTTA